CCCTGATGTTTAGTTCATTTCATTCCGATCTCCTCTGCATTATTGTAGCCATCTGCTGCAGCCTGTCAACTATGCCTCTGCCTATCCCTGTTCTCTCCTCTCCGCACAGGCTACACAAACGCCTCACACCGCGTGGCTGCTGCCTCTCTAACCTGGTGGTCCCTGCACGCACGACACACCTGGAGTTCCAGGTCTCAGGCAGCCTCTGGAACTGCCGTTCTGCCGCCAACAAGGCTGACTTCATCCCAGCCTATGCTACCCTCCAGTCTCTCGACTTCCTGGCGCTGACGGAAACATGGAGTTCCCTTGGAGAGTTCATCAATGAGCTTGACGCCTTGATAAGTTCCTTTCCTGAGGATGGCTCACCCTTCACAGTTTTGGGGGATTTCAACCTCCCCACGTCTACATTTGACTCATTTCTCTCTGCCTCCTTCTTTCCACTCCTCTCCTCTTTTGACCTCACCCTCTCACCATCCCCCCCCACTCACAAGGCAGGCAATACGCTTGACTTCATCTTTACTAGATGTTGCTCTTCTACTAATCTCACTGCAACTCCCCTCCATGTCTCCGACCACTACTTTGTATCCTTTTCTCTCTCGCTCTCCTCCAACACTACTCACTCTGCCCCTACACAGATGGTAACGCGCCGCCGCAACCTTCGCTCTCTCTCTCCCACTACTCTCTCCTCTTCCATCCTATCATCTCTTCCCTCTGCTCAATCCTTCTCCCTCCAATCTCCTGATTCTGCCTCCTCAACCCTCCTCTCCTCCCTTTCTGCATCCTTTGACTCTCTGTGTCCCCTATCCTCCCGGCCGGCTCGGTCCTCCCCTCCAGCTCTGTGGCTTGATGACTCATTGCGAGCTCACAGAACAGAGCTCCGGGCAGCTGAGCGGAAATGGAAGAAAACTAAACTCCCTGCCGACCTGGCATCTTTTCACTCCCTCCTCTCTACATTTTCTTCATCTGTTTCTGCTGCTAAGGCCACTTTCTACCACTCTAAATTCCAAGCATCTGCCTCTAACCCTAGGAAGCTCTTTGCCACATTCTCCTCACTGCTGAATCCTCCCCCCACTTTGAAAAGAAGGTTGAGGACATCCGATCCTCGTTTGTTAAGTCTAATGACACTGCTGGTCCTGCTCACACTGCCCTACCCTATGCTTTGACTTCTTTCTCCCCTCTCTCTCCAGATAAAATCTTGCGACTAGTGACTGCAGGCCGCCCAACAACCTGCCCGCTTGACCCCATCCCCTCCTCTCTTCTCCAGACCATCTCCGGTGACCTTCTCCCCTACCTCACCTCGCTGATCAACTCATCCTTGACCGCTGGCCATGTCCCTTCCGTCTTCAAGAGAGCGAGAGTTGCACCCCTTCTCAAAAAACCAACACTCGATCCCTCTGATGTCAACAACTACAGACCAGTATCCCTTCTTTCTTTTCTTTCCAAAACTATTGAGCGTGCCGTCTTTAGCCAACTCTCTTGCTATCTCTCTCAGAATGACCTTCTTGATCCAAACCAGTCAGGTTTCAGGACTGGTCATTCAACTGAGACTGCTCTTCTCTGTGTCACGGAGGCTCTCCGCACTGCTAAAGCTAACTCTCTCTCCTCTGCTCTTGTCCTTCTAGACCTGTCTGCTGCCTTTGATACAGTGAACCATCAGATCCTCCTCTCCACCCTCTCCGAGCTGGGCATCTCCGGCGCGGCTCACTCCTGGATTGCGTCCTACCTGACCGGTCGCTCCTACCAAGTGGCGTGGCGAGAAGCTGTCTCCGCACCACGTGCTCTCACCACTGGTGTCCCCCAGGGCTCAGTTCTAGGCCCTCTCCTTTTCTCCCTATACACCAAGTCACTTGGCTCTGTCATATCCTCACATGGCCTCTCCTATCATTGCTACGCTGACGATACACAACTAATCTTCTCCTTTCCCCCTTCTGATAACCAGGTGGCGAATCGCATCTCTGCATGTCTGGCCGACATATCAGTATGGATGACGGATCACCACCTCAAGCTGAACCCTGGCAAGACGGAGCTGCTCTTCCTCCCGGGGAAGGACTGCCCGTTCCATGATCTCGCCATCACGGTTGACAACTCCGTTGTGTCCTCCTCCCAGAGTGCGAAGAGCCTTGGCGTGACCCTGGACAACACCCTGTCGTTCTCCGCTAACATCAAGGCGGTGACCCGATCCTGCAGGTTCATGCTCTACAACATTCGGAGAGTACGACCCTGCCTTACACAGGAAGCGGCACAGGTCCTAATCCAGGCACTTGTCATCTCCCGTCTGGATTACTGCAACTCGCTGTTGGCTGGGCTCCCTGCCTGTGCCATTAAACCCCTACAACTCATCCAGAATGCCGCAGCCCGTCTGGTGTTCAACCTTCCCAAGTTCTCTCACGTCACCCCCCTCCTCCGCACACTCCACTGGCTTCCAGTTGAAGCTCGCATCCGTTACAAGACCATGGTGCTTGCCTATGGAGCAGTGAGGGGAACGGCACCTCCGTACCTTCAGGCTCTGATCAGTCCCTACACCCAGGCGAGGGCATTGCGTTCATCCACCTCTGGCCTGCTGGCTCCCCTTCCTCTGCGGAAGCATAGTTCCCGCTCAGCCCAGTCAAAGCTGTTCGCTGCTCTGGCACCCCAATGGTGGAACAAGCTCCCTCACGACGCCAGGACAGCGGAGTCACTCACCACCTTCCGGAGACATTTGAAACCCCACCTCTTTAAGGAACACCTGGGATAGGATAAAGTAATCCTTCTACCCCTCCCCCCCCCCCCCCCCCCCCCCAAAAAAAAAAAAAAAAAAAAAGTATAATTGTAAAGTGGTTATCCCACTGGCTATAGGGTGAATGCACCAATTTGTAGTCGCTCTGGATAAGAGCGTCTGCTAAATGATGTAAATGTGCCCTTGAGCAAGGCACTTAACCCTAATTGCTCCTGTAAGTCGCTCTGGATAAGAGCGTCTGCTAAATGACTAAAATGTAAATGTAAATGTTGAAGGCAGTCAAGAGAAACTCAATACCACGGGAACCCGAGGAGACTTAATTAGCAGGAATTGGATCGTCTCGCTGTGGTTCCCTGATACTCGTAAGTTCATGGGGTTGGTATTGTGGGTGACCTGGCCTATAGAGTGCCCGTCCAGCGCTCTAACATCCATGGGAAAGGAGAGGGGCTGAGTGGGGATACCCAGCTTGGACGCCAGGGTAGCGTCCATAAAGCTCTCATCGGCCCCAGAGTCGATGAGTACCTGGAGAGACTTCGACTGGTTCCCCCACAGCAAGATGGCATGAAAAGGGGTGCGAGTAAGGGGAGAGGAAAAGTTATCCGTATGGCCCACCAGAGTACTCGCTCCTACCGGTGAGCCTGGTCTTTTAGTGGACAGGTGGACACAAAATGATCAGTAGTCCCGCAATACAGGCAACTCTTCGTGTGAAGCCTGTATTGCCATTCGGCTGGAGACAACCTAGCTCTGCCTAGTTGCGTTGGCTTGGGAAGAGGTGGATCGGAAGACTTCGGAGACTCTCGGGGGAACTCGGGTAGCCTCGGGTTCTCTCGGCAACGGAGCCGTCGGGACTTCCGGGATGCCTCAATGGCGAGGTGGAATCCTTGGGCGGGCGAGAAGAATCGGACTTCCTCTCCTTCCTTCGTTCCTGTAGTTGCCCATCGATCCGAATGGTCAAGGCGATGAGCGAGTCGAGATCCGTCGGTAGTTCCCGGGCTGCAAGCTCGTCCTTTACTTCCTCCGATACTCCGTGCAGGAACGTGTCGAACAGCGCTTCCAGGTTCCAGGCACACACAGCTACCAACTTGCGGAAATCCACTGCATAGTCTGCCACACTGTGTAATTCTTGCCGAAGCAACTTCTGGCAGCCTCTCTCCCGGACAATGGAGCATTGAAAACCTTCTTTGCATGAACTCCTCCAGACTGAAGCATACAACTGACTGTTGTTCCCACACTGCCGTAGCCCAGGCGAGAGCCCTCCCGGACATCAGCATGATGAGGTACGGTATCTTAGAGTGGTCCGAGGGGAAGGAGGAGGGCTGCAGCTCGATGATGAGCAAACACTGAGTGAGAAATGGCAAACAGGTTCCCGACTCTCCAGCGAAGCGTTCCGGGGGAGGTAAGCGGGGTTCCCGGGAAACCGGGGTGACCGGGTTACTGAGGGGCTGGGAGGTTACCGTCGTGGTAGGCTGCCTAACAGACAACCCACGGAATTGCTCCAGCAATGTGTTAAATGCTCGGTCATGGTGTTCCAATGGTGGCTCCTTGGGAGGAGATGTCGTTGCGGCGCTCGTCCGAGTCTACTGGGTCAGTCATGGCCAGTTCGTACTATCACGTTTCAGGAGAAAACCCAGATGCAGACGTTGTCGAAGTAACAAAAGTTTATTACAAAAACACGGGGCAACATGACAGATCAAGGGCAGGCATAGGTCAGTAATCCAGATCAGAGTCCAAAAGGTACAGCGTGGCAGGCAGAATGGTCAAAACTGGGATAACTAGAAAACAGGAACTTGAGAAAGACAAGAGCAAGTGGAAAAATGCTGGTAGGCTTGACGAAACAAAACGAACTGGCAACAGAGAGAGAACACAGGTATAAATACACTGGGGATAATGGGGAAGATGGGCGACACCTGGAGGGGGGTGGAGACAATCACAAAGACAGGTGAAACAGATCAGGGTGACACTTTCAGTTTTTCTGAACTCACTTCACTCGCACAGATCAAATACACCACTGGAACACTGATTATTCTGTTTACATTCCTAATAATTCTAAAGATTGCTCAGAAAACCAGGTGTTTTAATCGGCGTATGCTTACTTCGATTATGACCGTACGCCGATTGAGATAAGCAGAGTAAGGTGTTTACATGACTAATGTCATACTCTGCATTCTGCTATAATCGGTTTAATATTGAGTTATTAGTGCGCATGTAAACGTACTCCATGAACGCACAAATGAATGAATGAATTAACATAAATAACTAAACTTAGTGTTGTTTTCTCCCCAGGTGTGACCATCCTGGCTGTTACAAGGCATTCACCTCTAGTGACCACCTCCAAACACACTTCCTGGGATACATAGGTACAGGTGTGTATGACAGGAATAGTGGGGTGGAGATACACAGCTAACTCCTTTAGCTCAATCCCTGTTTATTTTAAATGAGACTAGGGGAGTTGAAATCCTTTTTTTTCAGAGTTGGAGATAAAACAATACGTTCTAGCACGTCTTTCTTTCCTCCCCGCTACGTGTTATTGAGTGTTCTTAATGGGGTATGGCTTCCTCTGCTGAGTCAGATCCTCAGACAGGTGTGTGTGTGTGTGTTGAAAACATCAGAGTTTATTCCAGCCCAGTAGATAGGCCTCGCCACCGCTCAGCTCCCAAGCTTCTTATTGTCCCATTTATTCTCCCAACGCCCTGTCAGCGAATCCTGATGTGCCTATTTATCCACATCCAACAGAGTGCTGAGATCACACACACACACTCATCAAACACACACACACACTCATCAAACACACACACGCACACACACATCAAACACACACAAAACAGTCCCAAAGATCCAAACCCAGTCCATCTAGCACTCCAGGCAGGCTTAAACAAACACTCATATATTTGTAGGATTTCAAAATACTATTTGAACCCAGGTCTGATTGCTGCTGCTGTTGTTGTGGTGGAGCTATTAATACTGCTGCTGCAGCTTCCTCTGGGGCCCAGGTCCTCTCGCTCACTCACTCACTCACTCACTCACTCACTCACTCACTCACATGCACACACGCACACAGGCACAAATGCACGCACCCACCCACATGCACACACACACACACACACACACAGACAGACAGAGACACACACTCCATTCTGACTATAACACTGTCATTTGTCTTTCTAGCCTGTTCCTCTGATACCTATGAATCTCAGATGGGGTTTGGATCCATTACATGTGATCTGTGAATGCATGGAGACGTCTGTAAACTCACATTGATATCAGAGGCTGAGGAAACATTATCTGCCTGCCGTTTGGTTGGCTTCCCAGTGGAAGTTTCCATCTGTATCCTGCAGAACTGCTTGTGTCTGTAGCCAGGACTTTTCTCCGACTGTGTGTGTCTGTGTGCCTGTTTCTCAGACAACGCTAGTGGCTTGAACCTCCTTGCCCTTTTCCCTAAAAACCACAGTCTTCAAGGCACTAAAGGCTACATCAGCATAAAGTAATGTTATTAATGATCATTGTCATTATGCATGGACTTGGATATTGCTGAGCGTATTTCTATATCCTGTCTCTTCACCCATGAGGCTAAGAGTTGTGGACTCAAATGACCTTTCTTTCTCCAAGCCAGGACTATATCTCAAATTCTTATGGGGTTGTAAGCAATAGGGTTGGCTGCTGTATAAGAGAGACCAATAAAAGTAATATATGTCTGTGTTTGTGTGTGTGTGCAGTGCATGCACGTGCACACATATACATGTGTCTGTATGTGTGTGTGTGTGTGTGTGTGTGTGTTATTTCTCCTAGGCGAGCCACCCCTCCTTCAGGGGAACACAGACGGTGATAACTCCCTAAGCTCCTCCAACAGCCTGAGGGACAACATCAAAGGTCACAAGCCTGGACCGTCAGCTGCCATAACTCACAGCCACTCCCTCTCAGAGGTGAGTCCTCCCACCATGTGACTGAAAATGGCACTTGTTAATGATGTTTTGACAATGACACATTTCATCAGTTTCTGTCTCGCACAGTATGTGTCAAGACTTACTGATCAAATATCCATGCAATCAATAGATTTTCTCTGTATTTTTCTGTCTTTTAAATCTGTTCTCAATATGCGGTGCTCTCTAATCATCTCTTATAATGAATCAATAATCATGTTTTGAAACAGGACTTGAATCCTCGTTCCCCATGTCTCAGTGATATGAGCCTGATTTCCACTGTCTCTCAGCTCAGAGAAAGTAATGTAAGTAATTTTGTACCTCTTTCTTTCCACATTTTCAATATCACACACTGTCTGAATAAACATATCACCATGCAATATGTCTTTAAAAAATACACTGTTTACGAAAATGGATCGCTCCTACAGACAATGAGTCACGTGGCTGTGGCTTGCTACAGTTGAAGTCGGAAGTTTACAAACACTTAGGTTGGAGTCATTAAAACTTGTTTTTCAACCATTCCAACATTTCTTGTTAACATACTATAGTTTTGGCAAGTCAGTTAGGACATCTACTTGTGCATGACACAAGTAATTTTTCCAAAGTTTACAGACAGATTATTTCACTTATAATTCACTTTATCACAATTCCAGTGGGTCAGAAGTTTACATGCACTAAGTTGACTGTGCCTTTAAACAGCTTGGAAAATTCCAGAAAATGATGTCTGGCTTTAGAAGCTGCTGATAGGCTAATTGACATCATTTGAGTCAATTGGAGGTGTACCTGTGGATGTATTTCAAGGCCTACCTTCAAACTCAGTGCCTCTTTGCTTGACATCATGGGAAAATCAAAAGAAATCAGCCAAGACCTCAGAAAAAAAATTGTAGACCTCCACAAGTCTGGTTCATCCTTGACAGCAATTTCCAAACGCCTGAAGGTACCACGTTCATCTGTACAAACAATAGTACGCAAGTATAAACACCATGGGACCACGCAGCCGTCATACCGCTCAGGAAGGAGACACGCTCTGTCTCCTAGAGATGAACGTACTTTGGTGCGAAAAGTGCAAATCAATCCCAGAACAACAGCAAAGGACCTTGTGAAGATGCTGGAGGAAACAGGTACAAAAGTATTTATATCCACAGTAAAACAAGTCCTATATCGACAAAACCTGAAAGGCCGCTCAGCAAGGAAGAAGCCACTGCTCCAAAACTGCCATAAAAAAGCCAGACTACGGTTTGCAACTGCACATGGGGACAAAGATCGTACTTTTTTGAGAAATTTCCTCTGGTCTGATGAAACAAAAATAGAACTGTTTGGCCATAATGACCATTGTTATGTTTGGAGGAAAAAGGGTGTTGCTTGCAAGCTGAAGAACACCATCCCAACCGTGACGCACAGGGGTGGCAGCATCAAGCTGTGGGGGTGCTTTGCTACAGGAGGGACTGGTGCACTTCACAAAATAGATGGCATCATGAGGAAGGAAAATTATGTGGATATATTGAAGCAACATCTCAAGACATCAGTCAGGAAGTTAAATCTTGGTCGCAAATGGGTCTTCCAAATGGACAATGACCTCAAGCATACTTCCAAAGTTGTGGCAAAATGGCTTAAGGACAACAAAGTCAAGGTATTGGAGTGGCCATCACAAAGCCCTGACCTCAATCCAATAGAAAATTTGTAGGCAGAACTGAAAAAGCGTATGTAAGCAAGGAGAACCTACAAACCTGACTCAGTTACACCAGCTCTGTTAGGAGGAATGGGCCAAAATTCACCCAACTTATTGTGGGAAGCTTGTGGAAGGCTACCCGAAATGTTTTACCCAAGTTAAACAATTTAAAGGCAATGCTACCAAATACTAATTGAGTGTATGTATACTTCTGACCCACTGGGAATGTGATGAAAGAAATAAAAGCTGAAATAAATCGTTTTCTCTACTATTATTCTGACATTTCACATTCTTAAAATAAAGTGGTGATCCTAACTGACCTAAGACAGGGACGTTTTACTAGGATTAAATGTCAGGAATTGTGAAAAACTGAGTTTAAATGTATTTGGCTAAGGTGTATGTAAACTTCCGACTTCAACTGTATATGAAGCAGGCAGACAGTCATCGAGGCATTCAGTTACTGTTCGATTGAACGTTATAATTGTCAAAAATGAGTGACCTAAGTGACTTTGAGCGTGGTATGATCGTCGGTGCCAGGCGCGCCGGTTCCAGTATCTAAAAAAACGGCCACCCTCCTGGGCTTTTCACGCACGACAGTGTCTAGGGTTTACTGTGAATGGTGCGACAAACCAAAAATATGCAGTCAGTGGCAGTCCTGTGGTGGAAAACAGCTTGATGATGAGAGAGGTCGAATGAGAATGGCAAGAATCGTGCAAGCTAACAGGCGGGCCACAAACAGACAAATAATGGCGCAGGTCAACAGTGGTGTGCAGAACGGCATCTTGGAACGCACAACTCGTCGGTCCTTGTCGCGCATGGGCTATTGCAGCAGACGACCACACCGGGTTCCACTCCTATCAGCTAAAAACAAGAACAAGCGGCTCCAGTGGGCACGCGATCACCAACGCTGGACAATTGAGGAGTGGAAAAAGAGCCTGGAACATGACAGCTTACTAGAGTGGTCTGTTCAGTCCCTGCATCTCAACCCAAATAGAGCATCTTTGGGATGAGATGGAACGGGCTGTTCACAGCATGAATGTACCACCGTCCAATCTGCAGCAACTGCGTAATGTCAGCATGGACCAACATCCCTGTGTAATGTTTCCGACACCTTGTAGAATGCCCCGAAGAATTCAGGCTGTTCTGGAGGCAAAGGGTGGTCCGACCCGGTACTGAGTATATATACAGTATACAGTTAGCCCTATGCTATTGGCTATATAGACAATATTAAAGACTACAGTCATGTCTCAGGGCAAATTGTATACATGTATATGTTGTGCATACTGTATGGTAAATAATGTAGCTAAATGTAATAGATGGTAACTAAGACACGTGCTGTATATGTTTTACCTGTTAGACTAACATTACTCTGCTGTTGTCTTATCCCTGTGGCAGTCTGATGCCCTGGACCTGATGTTTGAACTGCTGTTTCAAGACAAGCCCCAGCCACAGGGTACTGTACTATGTTGTGTTCAACACCACCAGTGCTTTGTTGTCTAAATGCCTTGTCTCCTGTTAAGCCCTTCAAATCGTTTTTATCAGTCCCCTATCTTCTCCAGATGTGTCGTTGCTGGCAGTGCCCTCATGCAGTTTGGAGAACCCATCTCCAACAGTGGTGCTTCCAGAAGCATCTCCCTCTTTCATCTCTACCTGTCCTGAACCCTCTGACTCTATCCCTGGTGTACCCCATCCTGTACCCCAGCCCATCGCTGTCCTCACCCCTGGGTGGACCCCTAGTGAACCCTTTCCAGTTCCTGTCTCTCCCATGATCAGTGAAATACCTAAACATGAGGTGAATCCAGAACAGCCAGCCGCATCCATCTATTCCCAACCAGGCTCCAATCAGAGCCTACTACCACAGCCAACCGCCACCCTCCATTCCCAACCAGGCTCCAATCAGAGCCTACTACCACAACCAACCACCACCCTCCATTCCCAACCAGGCTCCACCCAGAGCCTACTACTACAGCCAGCTGCCATGCCCTCCATCTGTTCTCAACCAGGCACAGGCCCATACCCTCCACCACCCAGCTCCTCCCTCCAGGCCCCACTAACACCCCTCTCCCTGGGGTACTCTGCTCCTCCTACTGTCCCTTCCCACAGTACCCTCCAGCCCATCACCTTGTCCACTCAGAACTTCCAGTGGCTTTTGAACAGTATCAATGACCAGAGGCAGCAGGACAGTCAGACACAGCTGTCAGTAAGTCATCATTAACAAGTTAGTAATAGGTTGTTATTATAATTATAACAAGTTAGGCCTTTTATAAGTTATTATAAGCAGCTAATAAGGTTTGCTATTAGATGTTGATCTAGGAATATAATATGTTTTTATAGGCCAGTTTTTTATGATGTATAATTTGTTGTCATACGGTATTTATTGGTGTCATTATTCTAGATGCTTTATTGAAACCTCCTAACCAGGAGGGTAGTAAAGCCAGCTAATTAGAATATGGAGAAGGCCGCCGTCCAATCATTTGGTCTTTTAATAAAAATATGGAGAGGGTCGTCCAATTATTGGCCTTTTTAAAAATGGTATTTTATATATAAATATATAATTTTTTTCTCCCCAATTTCGATCTTGTCTCATTGCTGCAACTCCCCAACGGGCTCGGGAGGCGAAGGTCGAGTCATGCGTAAACCGAAACATGACCGCTTAACCCGGAAGCCAGCCGCACCAATGTGTCGGAGGAAACACTGTTCAACTGACGACCGAGGTCAGCCTGCAGGTGTCTGGCCAGCCACAAGGAGTCGCTAGAGCGCAATGAGCCAAGTAAAGCCCCCCCGGCCAAAACCTCCCTTAACCCGGACGACGCTGGGCCAATTGTGCGCCGCCCTATGGGACTCCCGATTTTTTTTATTTGTGATACAGCCCGGGATCGAACCCATGTCTGTAGTGACGTCTCTAGCACTGCAATGAAGTTCCTTAGACCGCTGCGCCACTCGGGAGGCCCATTATTGGCCTTTTTATTAGGATGTTGTCACGGTGTCAGTGTAATGCGGTAGACGAAGTCAGGCGAAGGACACAGAACTCAAAGAAAACGTATCTTTACTAAAACACGTAAAGAAACAATAAACCTCCACGCAGGGAGGAATAAACCCACTCACCAACGACGTCCGAAAACAAACAACAAACATGCACAGAACACAATGGGAGCCACAGGGTTAAATAGAGGCGGAGTAATTACAAGATGGGCAACAGGTGTGAAACACTCTGACAACAACAGGTAGATATAGAACATAGATCGGCAGCAGCTAGTACTCCGGTGACGACGAACGCCGAAACCTGCCCGAGCAAGGAGGAGGGGCAGCCTCGGCAGAATCCGTGACCGTACCCCCCCCCGGCGTCGACACCGGCCAGGAGGACGCGGCGCGGGGCGAGTGGGATGATTGCGGTGGAAATCCCTTAACATGGAGGGATCGAGGATGTCCCTCCTAGGAACCCAGCACCGTTCCTCCGGACCGTACCCCTCCCACTCCACGAGATACTGCAGGCCCCCCACCCGACGCCTCGAATCCAATATGGAACGAACCGAGTACGCCGGTGCCCCCTCGATGTCCAGCGGGGGCGGAGGAACCTCCCGTATCTCAGACTCCTGGAGTGGACCAGCTACCACCGGCCTGAGGAGAGACACATGGAACGATTAATACGATAATTAGTAGGAAGTTGTAACCTATAACATACCTCGTTCAATCTCCTCAGGACTTTGAATGGCCCCACAAACCGCCGACCCAGCTTCCGGCAGGGCAGGCGAAGGGGCAGGTTTCGGGTCGAGAGCCAGACTCGGTCCCCCGGTGCATACACCGGGGCCTCACTGCGGTGGCGGTCGGCGCTCGCCGTTTGCCGCCTGATGGCCCGCTGCAGACGTACATGAGCAGCGTTCCAGGTCTCCTGCGAGCGCCGAAACCACTCGTCCACCGCAGGTGCCTCGATCTGGCTCTGATGCCAAGGTGCCAGGACCGGCTGATAACCTAATACACATTGGAATGGAGAAAGGTTAGTGGAGGAGTGGCGGATGGAGTTCTGGGCTATCTCTGCCCAGGGGAGGAAAACCGACCACTTCCCCCGCTGGTCCTGGCAATACGACCTCAGAAACCTACCCACCTCATGGTTGACTCTCTCCACCTGCCCGTTACTCTCTGGGTGAAATCCTGAGGTCAGACTGACCGTGACTCCCAGACGTTCCATGAACGCCCTCCAAACCCTAGAGGTGAACTGGGAATCCCGATCAGACACTATATCCTCAGGTACCCCGTAGTGCCGGAAGACGTGTGTAAATAGGGCCTCAGCCGTTTGTAGGGCCGTAGGGAGGCCCGGGCAGCGGAATGAGGCGGCAGGACTTAGAAAACCGATCCACAACAACCAGGATCGTGGTGTTCCCTTGTGAGGGGGGAAGATCCGTCACGAAGTCCACCGATAGGTGGGACCATGGTCGTTGTGGAACGGGTAGGGGTTGCAATTTCCCTCTGGGCAGGTGTCTAGGAGCCTTGCACTGGGCGCACACCGAGCAGGTGGAAACATAAACCCTCACATCCTTAGCTAAGGTGGGCCACCAGTACTTCTCACTAAGACAGTGCACTGTCCGACCTATGCCAGGATGCCCAGAGGAGGGTGACGTGTGAGCCCAATAGATCATCCGATCGTGGACATCCAGCGGTACGTACACACGACCCTCTGGACACTGGGGAGGAGTGGGTTCGTTACGCAACGCCCGCTCGATCTCCGCGTCAACCTCCCACACCACCGGTGCCACCAGACACGACGCCGGAAGTATGGGAGTGGGCTCCACGGAACTCCCCTCCGTGTCATACAGTCGGGACAGAGCATCTGCCTTAGCGTTCTGGGAACCTGGCCTGTAAGAAAGGGTGAAAACAAAACGGGTGAGAAACATGGACCACCTTGCCTGGCGAGGGTTTAATCTCCTCGCTGCCCGGATGTACTCCAGATTGCGGCGGTCAGTCAAAATGAGAAAAGGGTGTTTAGCCCCCTCAAGCCAATGTCTCCGCTTTCAGAGCTTCGACCACAGCCAACAGCTCCCGGTCCCCCACATCATAGTTGCGCTCCGCCGGGCTGAGCTTCTTCGAAAAGAAGGCACAGGGGCGGAGTTTAGGTGGCGTACCCGAGCGCTGAGACAGTACAGCGCCTATTCCAGCCTCGGATGCATCCACCTCAACCGTGAAGGCTAAGGAGGGGTCCGGATGAGCCAGCACTGGAGCCGAGGTAAACAGGTCCTTCAGACGACTAAAAGCCCTGTCCGCCTCAGCTGACCACCGCAGACGCACCGCCCCCCCCCCTTCAGTAACGAGTTAATGGGAGCTGCTACCTGACCAAAGCCCCGGATAAATCTCCGGTAGTAATTGGCAAAACCCAAAAATCGCTGCACCTCCTTTACCTTGGTAGGAGTCGTCCAATTAGGCACGGCCGAAATGCGGTCACTCTCCATCCTCACCCCTGACGCGGACATATGGTACCCCAAGAAAGAGATGGACTCCTGGAAGAACAGGCATTTCTCTGCCTTAGCATACAGGTCATGCTCCAACAGTCTTCCAAGCACCTTACGCACCAGGGACACATGCTCGGCCCGTGTAGCGGAGTATATAAGGATGTCATCAATATACACCACTACCCCTTGTCCGTGCAGGTCCCTGAAAATCTCATCCACAAATGATTGGAAAACTGATGGAGCATTCATTAACCCGTATGGCATGACCAGATACTCAAAATGTCCAGAGGTGGTACTAAATGCCGTCTTCCACTCATCTCCCTCGCGGATACGCACTAGGTTGTACGCGCTCCTGAGATCCAATTTTGTGAAGACGCGTGCCCCGTGCAATGATTCCGTCATACTAGCTATCAGAGGTCATGGATAGCTGTACTTGATGGTAATCTGATTTAGGCCACGGTAATCAATGCACGGGCGTAACCCACCATCTTTCTTCTTCACAAAAAAGAAACTTGAGAAAACGGGTGAAGTGGATGGCCGAATGTATCCCTGCCTCAGAGATTCGGTGACATATGTCTCCATAGCCGCCTTCTCCTCCTGAGACAAAGGATACACGTGACTCCGGGGAAGTGCAGCTCCTACCTGGAGATTTATCGCACAATCCCCCGGACGATGGGGTGGTAATTTAGTCGCCCTCTTTTTACTGAAGGCGATAGCCAAATCTGCATACTCGGATGGAATGTGCATGGTGGAAACCTGGTTTTGGACTTTCCACCGAAGTTGCCCCCAAGAAAACTCCTAAACACCTCCCTGAACACTGACCGTACCATCCCTTGAGAGCCCTCTGTTGCCATGAAATCGTGGGGTCATGAATGGTTAACCAGGGAGGTCCCAACACCACAGGATACGCAGGAGAATCAATCAGATAGAGGCTAATCCTCTCCTCATGACCCCCCCTGCGTCATCATCAGCAGTGGAGCCGTGACCTCCCTGATTATGCCTGACCCTAACGGGCGACTATCTAATGCGTGAACAGGGAAAGGTTTATCAACAGCCACTGTGGGAATCCCTAGACTACGTGCATACTGGCGATCAATAAAATTCCCAGCCGCGCCTGAATCTACTAGCGCCTTATGCTGGGAATGGGGAGAAAATTCTGGAAACATAATGTCAATACACATATTAGCAACAGGGAGCTCTGGGTTAGTCGGGTGCCTACTCACCTGAGACGGTCGACCAGTGCTCTGCCTGCTGCCTCGACCTCCTGAGAACCCTCCCCAGCACTGACCAGCAGTGTGTCCTCTGCGGCCACACTTGGTGCAGGGGACGGTCCCTCTCCCAGTCTCCCTAACTGCAGCACCTCCGAGCTCCATGGGGGTAGGCTCGGAGGTGCTGGGGGATGGAATGGACAGCCCCCCATCAGAACGTCCGCGGGCTGCCAACAGGTTATCCAACCTGATGGACATGTCCACCAGTTGGTCCAGGTTGAGATTGGTGTCCCTGCAGGCCAGTTCCCGACGGACGTCCTCCCTTAAGCTGCAACGATAGTGGTCGATAAGGGCTCGCTCATTCCATCCCGCGCTGGCTGCTAAAGTCTTGAACTCCAGCGCAAAATCCTGCGCGCTCCTCATAATAATATAATAATAATATGCCATTTAGCAGACGCTTTTATCTAAAGCGACTTACAGTCATGCGTGCATACATTTTTGTGTATGGGTGGTCCCGGGGATCGAACCCACTACCTTGGCGTTACAAGCGCCGTGCTCTACCAGCTGAGCTACTTTTATTTATTTTATTTTTATTTCACCTTTATTTAACCAGGTAAGCCAGTTGAGAACAGCTACAGAGGACCACCACATCTCCTGTCGTAGGTGGACCAGACGTTCTCCCGCCGCTCTCCCTTCAGGTGGATGATCGAATACCGCCCGGAAGCGGCGGGTGAAATCCTCGTAGCGGACAGTTCTCGAGTCTATACCTCCCCACTCGGCGTTGGCCCACTCAAGCGCCCTCCCCGATAGACAGGAGATGAGGGCGGACACGCTCTCGTATCCCGAGGGCGCCAGGTGAATGGTGGCCAGGTAGAGCTCTACCTGGAGGAGAAATCCCTGGCACCCGGCAGGTGTACCGTCATATGCCCTCGGGAGCGAGAGCCGAATTCCACTGGACCCAGGTGGCGAAGTGGTAGCCAGTGTTGTAGGTGGTTGTGTGGTTGGAAATGGTGAAGGGATACCACCTCTCTCAAATCGTTCCATCATCTGGAACACTCGTTCCATTGTGGCACCGAGATTCTGAAGTACCGTCTCTTGACGTTGGACTCGTTCCTCCATCGTCTCGGTAGATCCAGTTGTTCCTGCTGACTCCATATTGGTGCGTGTTTCTGTCACGGTGTCAGTGTAATGCGGTAGACGAAGTCAGGCGCAGGACACAGAACTCAAAGAAAACGTATCTTTACTAAAACACGTAAAGAAACAATAAACCTCCACGCAGGGAGGAATAAACCCGCTCACCAACGACATCCGAAAACAAACAACAAACACACACAGAACACAATGGGAGCCACAGGGTTAAATAGGGGTGGAGTATTTCCAAGATGGGCAACAGGTATGAAACAATCTGACAACAACAGGTAGACATAGAACATAGATCAGCAGCAGCTAGTACTCCGGTGACGACGAACGCCGAAACCTGCCCGAGCAAGGAGGAGGGGCAGCCTCGGCAGAATCCGTGACAGATGTGGAGAGGGACTGTCCAATCATTGGCCTGCTGAATCTCATCCAGTACAACTGTTAATTGACCTTCAGTTGTTTTAATGAAACTATTCCTCTGTTTAGCCACGAGGCATTGACATTCTGTTAATTATATGCTGAACATGCGCTCTTCTCTTCTTCTGTTGTATTTCAGCAACAACACGGTGGCTCAACAGTAGAGAAGCTCTATTTTACCACAGAAATACCTATGGGAGGGAACACAGGTAATTTACAGAGATTCATCTTTTGCTTTGTGATATTTACCGGTATATGCCACCTCTGATGAATTTAGGTGTGCTTTTTACACTAGTATTCTACATTTTGAACATTTCAATGTATTTGATCGCTAAACATTACAGTTGCAGAGCTGTAGATATTGTAAAGCTAGCTACAAGACCGTATCTGTGAGGTTGTTGTACTGTACAATTTTTATGGATGTATTGACTTTTTAAAACATTATTTGACATGCTCTCTGTCTTGTTTGCTAAGGACAGCTCTGCAGCAGATAGGCCTGTGTCTCCCTGTCGTCGTCATTAGACAGGGAGAGTCATGCCAGTGTCGGTGCCCCTGCAGAGACGGCAGCACAGCAGCAGACACAGAGAAACAGACTAGTTGTCAACCTACTGGTGAACCCTCTGGTACCCAGGTCAAGCAGCCCCAGGACCTATCAACCCAGGACCCACCACCCCAGCCCCCTCAGCCCCAGGACCCACCACTCCAGCCCCCTCCACCATAGCAGCCTCCACCTCCACCTGTCCGATGAAAATTCAAGTCAACCTTTTTGTTACTGGAGAAACTGTTCCTGTTCCTTATCCAACTGAGGCGTCTCTATGCACTGTACTGTGTACTTAACTCTTTCTGTTGTTAATACCTAGTTCAAGATCAGGTCTCCATACCCTGTCCCCATAACCTTAACCAACAGTAATCCAATCCAACCCCAGACTGGTTGCTAAGGGTAGAAAGCAATCATATGCTGCATTTCAGTGTGGATCAGATCAATTCAGTTTAACTACAGTGTTTTATTTAGATTTATGACATGTCTGGTAGCGGTCTATTATGAATTGGGCTTGAACAGTGGCTGGCCGCTGAACGTAGTGTGGAAAACGGTTGACTCAAATACAAATCCTCTGCAGCAACATTCCTCTTTACATCCAGTCCCACTGGAAACATTAAAGGTGACATTTATTTTGATGGCGCAGACAGAAAAAGCACTGTTGTCAAAACAGACTATCACTCCCCATGCAGTACTTAGCATTGCAGTTTTTGTCAAATGTGTGTGGAATGCAAATTATTATTTGCATCATGTGCGTCATGTATCCGTACCATTTCATTCTGAACCTGCAAATGATCTCTGTGTATTCAAGGGTCTCAAATAATGGGAGATGATGTAAGTAGCAAATGCTGCTATAACAATACAGTGCAGCGTATTTAGACACTAGCAAACTAATCTGGCAAAGCAAAAATATTTGTTTTTTCTTCAATGTTCATAATATAACCGTTTTTAATCTGGAACTGTTCTGCTTACTGCCATTTTGATCAGAGGGACAGGTTAGCTGAGGTGACTGCATCAGGCTCCTTTTGGAGCTCTGAAAAGTAACAGTTTTTTAATGTACACAAATCCACTTGATTGTGCCTCTTTGAATGTTGTTCTGCATTATTGAACTAGCTTAATGGGCTTCCTGGTTTGGAACTCTCTGAGTGGCAGAATTCCCTCGACGACGTCACCCCGGCCAACCCTGCTGCCTTTAGATGCATTTCCTCTCTCGCTCTCTCTCTCTCTCGCTCTCTCTCCCTTTCTTTTTTCTGTTGTGACTTTCTGTCACTGGCCATTAGATTGGACAATGTTTTCAAATGACCTAAACGTGTTACTAAGTTAACAGAAGGAAACATTATCTTTCGGTTGGAGGTTTTTCCTAGCCTGCTTCTACTTAGCTGGCCTGATGGACCCATGCAGTATGATCAGATGGCGCTGGATTCAAGGATGAACAAGCTCTGTATGGATGATGCTAATTTAGAATCTGAACTGATATGCTCCGTTTTGGTGGAACAAGCTCCCCCACGACGCCAGGACAGCGGAGTCACTGACCACCTTCCGGAGACACTTGAAACCCTACCTCTTTAAGGAATACCTGGAATAGTATAACAGTAAACCTTCTTCCTCCCACCCCCCCATTAAAAAAAGGGGGAAAAGGGTGGTTGTCCCACTGGCTATCCTAAGTTGAATGCACCAATTTGTAAGTCGCTCTGGATAAGAGCGTCTGCTAAATGACTTAAATGTTAAATGACTTAAATGTTTTACCATTGTAGAACAGCAGTTTGGATTCCAGGCTAAGATGATGCTAAAGTCAAGGAACAACTGGCTTTCTAAAAGTCAACTACTTCTTTATTTACACCCTCCCAATGTCTTGTCAGTCAAATTCTATTTTCATACTTCTCTCTCTCTTCGATTCTCTGTCCCTTTCTCTCCTCTTCATGCTTGCTCTCTTTCTCTCCTCTCTCCCAGTTCACTGCCCTTTCGACTGTTGACATTCTGAGTTACCAAACCATAGAGCTGTCACCTGGAATAATCTGATCTGTCACCTGGAACTAGAAACATCAGTGATGATGAGGAGTGTCGTGGCCGGCCGTTGCACGGTGCTGTGAAGCCTGACATTTATAACCGCACAACGCCTGGTTGGTTAGTTGGTGTTACCGGCTGATGTGCTTGGGCACTGTGTGGGTGGGTGTGGAATAGGACAGAGACTCAGCACTGACCCCATGGTTTTTATTTGACTTGAGTTGAGTGATGAAGTAGCTAGTGCAGTGTGTTGGGCAGGGACCAGGCAGCCTGGTATGGCTTGATAATGATAGAACAGTGTACTACAGAACAGGCTCCTGTAGTGTATTAAGATTATGATGGTGTTAAATGTTTTTCATGAAGAAATGGAATGTTGTTTATGTTAGTATCAAGAGGGAATGTTTTAGGTGTAACGCCACATACAACAGACAGGAAGTGTGTTGTAGACAGGGGAGACTGGTGATTGGCCAGAAGAGGGAGCATCATTGTTTATAAATAGGGGGGAAAACGAAGGAGAGGGCAGAACGAGCAGCCATTCTGAGGCGTCACTCTCCGGGTGTCATGTCACCTGTAACTTATGCTGTAACCTCGTGATTTTAATAAAAGCCTCTAACACGGTGCAGCCTAAGCTGACTCTTTGTTGACAGCAATAACTGGCCACCATTCACCCGATACGACATAATGGCGCCCAACGTGGGGCTGGTCTGCGCCTCTTCTTTGTTTCAGTCAACCGCCAGGCTAACTCGCTTTGAAGCATGGCCAAACAAGGGTGAGTTTTTCTTACCGCTTCGGAGTTTGTTAGATTGGATACGACTTGTGTACACTGGAGAGATGTACCATTACGACCTTGCCTCGGGTGGCGTTATTGCTGATGACTAGAGTCTGCTAAAATGTTATTCCATTGGAAACGGCAGATAATTGGAAGTTTTTAGAGCATAAAACGGTAGGAATTAAGTATTGAAAGTGTACAATTAAAACAGATATGCGCATTCTTTAGGGCACTGTACCGCTTAAGACCCCCAGGGGGGGCCATTTTAGATGTTGGGCCGGCAAATCCGTTTGCACGATAGAATGGGCAGACGGTGGGTTTTTTAAGGGAAAACTCTGATTAATGGGATTTATCTGATTGTGATTATGATTCGACTCTCGTCCGACGGGGGGTTTGATTGGGTCTAATTTCTCGGTGTAATGGTCATTAAGTCACGGTAGCAAAAACGGTAGGATAAATATGTTTAAAATTGATAGGGCAGTGCAGGATATTTATTTGTATGGTAGGCCGCAGTTAGCTAAAGGCTAAGGCTAATTCTAAATGCTTGATTATGTTTCAGGCCATGTGGTACATAGCAGCTAAGGCTAATTCTAAATGCTGAAGTGTGGGTCATGCTACATTCTACATAGCTGCTGAGGCTAAATGCTAATGCTAAATGCTAATTGTGTTGCGTGCTACATGCTAACGGATATCCTTAGAGACCCCATTGCGATGGATTAAAGTCTCTTAAACTTGTCTCTGTGTGTAAGTCAGGTTATATGTTTTGTGAGCGCTGTTAAATGTTGTTTGATTATGAGGGGGAAACGGGAGTTACAGCTGGACTGTTATTCTGTCTGTTTGGGGAGGGAGTAGAGAATCTCCCTTCCACGGTGAAAAGTATTTTTGAATGGATTTGCGCATGCGTTTAATTTTGCGACACTACACTACAGAAAGTGGGAGTTTATGACACGAGATTAGGACACGTTTTGGTTTACGGCACTAAAACTACGACATGCGGTTGTGCTAAGCCTACAAAACACTGCATTATGGGTAAAGGTCATAGGTCCCATCTGGGGGCTGCAGGGGGAGACAGAGAAATAGACAGACAGAGGAGAAATTTTAACACGAATATTCTAGTTGTTACATCGGCGGTTGGTTAAAGATGAAACTTGTTTTGTGACCTATTGAATTTATAAATTAAATATATGTTGACGGAGTATAATGAATTAAATTAAATGACGGATTAAAATAAAATAAAAATGTTTTTGAGCGATCTATTTAGTTCTGAGGTTAGTCTTAGAGTGAATAATGGGTGAACGAAGGAATATTGAATATGGTTGAAATAACTCAGTGATTGCATTAACTACTAAAATGTGATTCTGTTTTTCTGTCATATGAGAGGAGCAATACGATACGACAGGAGAGAGGAGGGGCTAAGGTGTGACTGACGTGCGTCACGTGACAAGGTGTGACGTGGCAGAGGCAGAGGATCAGATATCAGGCTAGTTCACAAAATCATCCCTTACAAAATATGTGATGTTATGACAATTTTACATAGGCTTGGCAAATGATTCATTAAAAATTGCATTTTGGAGGCTCTGTGCATCACTGGGGTTTGATGGGAGTTGTGTTGGGAATCAAGGACTGACATTATTCTGTAAATTTAAGATAATTAGGTGCCTATAGAGCAAGGGGGTTTATGGGAATTGTAGTATTGAAGGGTTAGAGGCTTTGTTTATGGGTATTGTAGTCTGAAGTTGACTACTTGCATTTGATGGGTTGTGGTAAGATAGCCAACACTAATTGATAAATTGGTGACATAGGATATAGGAATACAAATTGGTTTTAATTATTCAGGATTTTTAATGGATTTATAAAAAATAAAAAAATAAATTTTTTTTTTTTTTTTTTTTTTGGAGTTGTTAGGTTTATATTAATAATTACAGGGGGGAAGCCATAGGCTATACAGTCTAAAATAAAATAATTCACGATAAAGGAATATAAAAGGGTTGTTACAATGGGGAGAAAGGACAGCAAGGCTAGATGAAGGTGATTACACCGATTGATATAGGGAAAAAATAGTAATCCTTTAACTAAAGTAGTGTTAGAAAGTAGTGTTAGAAAAACTAATGGCAGAAGTTAGTACACCTTTCTCACATACGGATTCAGCAAAAAGTAGAGCTTAGGGATGTTTATCCTCAGCTTCTGGTGATCATCCAGGAGGGTGATTGTTGCATCAGAGATGAAGACGAATAATAGATAGAGGACAAGCAGAAACGACGATGAAGATGAATCAAAACTCCAGAAGGAAGAAAATGTGATGTCTGGAAGAAAAGAGGGAGGTTAAGGAGGATGGAACTTAAAGAAGATGAGGATGATGAAGATGAGTGATGATGAAGAGGTCATGCATGGGTGGATATGACTCTGT